AACTGCTGCTAAGCCTCAGTAGTCAGAATTTCCAGATTCATCCAGAAAATGAACCAAATCTCATAAGTCTGAAGTCTGCTTTGGAAAAGCTTACAACTCTACAAATAGAATGCCTACTCTAGGCAAAATATGGAACATAGATTTATTTTAAAAAGTCCACTCCAAATAAAGAAGCAATTACAAGCCAATTTCCTCTTCTATATACCCTTGGTGTCTCTGTCTCATACACCCTGGCCTGTATCCAGAAACGTAAGAACAAACATAGCCAATCTCAGGACCTGTGTGTGTATAATCCACGCCGTTTCCACCGCCACAATACATTCCAGCAAGTTGAACAAGACCCGATTCTCTTTTTCTAAATTCATTTCTCGGCTCAGTCTACGGGAAAGCCACCAAAATTGTCTGCAAGAGCCTTCGTGATCTGTAGAAGGGGATCCCTCCACATCTCATTATCTGAAAGCGAGAAGCTACTTCTCCCTCCAAAAACTTCAGGTGAGCTGCATTAAAGGAAGATCCCGTGCGGGAGGGAAGGGCAAGGCGACCCGCAACTTCGGGACTCGAACGCAGCCGCCGGCTAGAAAAGTTGGGTGCATACTTAACCTTGCCACGAGCTTGAAGAAAAGGAGTGGAATGGCAGCTCCAGCTGTATGGACAATTTTTTTTCTCTCTCCCTCCGTCGGGGGAAATTCAAAAATAGCCTCCAAGTCCAGCTACTTTCTGGGAAATGCAGTCCAAATAGCGTCGGAAGGCGCTTTAAACCCTAGTCCGGAGCATGCTCAGAATTGTACTCCAGTGGTTCTTTGTTTTGGAAGTATATATATAAAATACACGCAATCTCTTTTAAGTTTACCTGAGAAAACGCTCCTCCCACGGAGTGCCTTCCCTTCAGAAATAAGCCCTGCGCCTTTCCTCTCGTTATGGAAAGCTTGTGAAAACTTGCCTGAAGGGCGGGTAGCGGGAAAGTGACCCGGCCACGATCCTTAGGTTTTGATTATTGTATCTTATACATGATGGTTCTTTATTATTATTATTTATATTTGATTGCAATTACTATAACCCGCATACTGCATGGTATCGGAATGATTGAAGTGGCATAAGGCATCTGTGGTAAATGAGAAAGAGCAACAGAACAATAAATTATCTGTGCGCTCACAACAAGGGATTGTTTCCAAATGTTTCTAAGGCAGCGATGAAAGTTGAAAATGGTCAGCCTCCAACCTCCTTCAAGTGTTGTTGTCGCCTAACAGTTCAACTATTTATGGCAATTTCTGCCTCCGAATTGGGCATACTATGGAGGTTTTGCTGGTCTATCACCAATAATCCGTCTCAAACACAGCGAAGGGCTATGATTCCAGTCTTTCGAAATCAACTAAAGTTCATATGAAAAGTACTTTGATTACTTTTGCTGTTTTTCCAAGGCTGACTTGATACATTACAGAGGTGCGCTTTGTTTTTTGTATTCTCCATTATTTCCTGTTCCTAGAGCTTGGCAACTATCGCTGAATAAATGTACTTCTCAACTACATTTCGAGACCTGCGTTATGCCCAGCAAGTGCATGACGGGAATGGTAGTTTCCACGACCACCCCGTCCCCCGGATGCGGAAGTGGATTGTGTTCGCCGGACGGTGAGGTAACGCGGCGAGGGTTGTAGCTCTAACGGGGCGTGAGCGAGTGGAGAGGTTCCGCTTCCGCCTTCTTGCTGGAGGTTCGCGCGCGATTCGTGGCCTGTGGCGTGGTGGCGTTTAAAAAAAGCTGAACCGGATTACCGAAAGCCGAATCTTCT